AATATTCTACAGTCGCCTGCTGATCTGCACAAGCCCAAGGAAATGATCTCGCACCTGACCACTTCTATGTGCATATATCAGTTTACCTGTTGCTGTGGAGCCAGGTACATCAGTCTTTCGATGCCCATCCTGTCAAAACAGGTCAAAGAACACTATCCAGCGTGGCTGCAGAAAAGAAGTAGTGGCCATATAAGGAGTGCAATAATCGAACGTCTCGTCACCACTGGTCATTCCATCTCGACAAACGCCTTCTTCACAGTAATCTACAAAGTGAAGAACAACCTGCCAAAGACGATACTTTTCCATCTTTTTTGCATTGCAGAAGCCCTAGCCATTCAATTAGAAGAACCAGAACTATGCATACAAAAGAAAATTATTCAGCCACTTCTACTATCATTGTAACAACTCTGTTGATCTGACTTAACTTATGCTTTTTTGCTTGTTTTTCTAACTATTTAAAACTCTCACGTAATTCCGTATTTTATTTTGTTTTCATGTTCACCCTTAGCACAACTCTTTCATCAAACTATTCATGTTATTACGTAAAGCTTCCTTAATAATCGTCTGTGACAACTCATCACTTTTGTTACTACCTTCCTATATCAACATCCAATTCCTCTGAATACTTTTTGTATTAAGTTCAGATTGACTTTTAAGTAAATCCACCCGAAACCTACTAATTCTCACCTGTTCAGTTAAAATAACCATAACCAATTGTATTTTTATTTTTGTTTTACAAATTTAATGTACACATGCATACAAAATAACCCATATATATTTGTGATTGTACAGCTAAGAAAATGAATTTGCCGAAAAGAGACTCTTTGCTGAACTACTGGTTTTTTCTCTATCTTTAAAGTTCTCATGATAATTTTGTGTTACCACGTCATTAGTAGAATTACTGAGAATCACTTTGTGATAATCGTGGGCATTTCCGTAATACCTCATTAAATCTTGATATAACCACACAATACAAATTGTCACCGGCTATTTATACATCCTTATTTCTCTAAGTTATAGCCTAATTAACATTAAAAATAAATATTGTCTATTACGATAGAGGAAACGGTATGAGCAATTCCACATAAAATATGCTTCTTTGGTCTATCCCCACAGTCTTCAAAATCTGCTTCGGAGAATCCGTTTAATCCATTTCGCATGATTTCCTTGATAGCATAGATTTCAGTATCTCTGGAATTATAACTAAATCTTTCCCTTGCACGCCAGTTCGACAGACATAGGATTACAAGTTTGAGAGAACTACTGAAAATCAGTGAGTACTCGACAAATGCTCCTCCTTATTTCAAGACCCAGTGGCAGCACGAATTCCTAACTCCATCTGGAAGTGAACACAGGATCTTCAGGTTCCTAGGTGAGCTCGTTTACTGTTCAATCACTGCGACTTAGTTTAGTGACTCATGAATTCCAACTTCTGTCACTTTGCGATATATGGTGTGACCGCCAGTCAATACCACTAATAAGTATTTCTCTTCGCACCCAACGTGGTGGACCCCAAGGAAGACGACTTCTCACAAGAATTACAACCGATTTTGTCTTGTAGTCAGTTAGTAGTGAGCATTAGATTTGTTTTCAAGTTTGTGGAAAATTTCCATTGGGATACATAGATAATCAAAACAAGTGATTCAACAAAGTACATAACCAATTATCTTTTCTTACAATTCACATTATTTTAAAAAGTCATATATAGAAGTGTACAGCTTGGTGATAAATTCGTTGAAAAGAGACTCTTCGCTGAATCACTTGTTTAGATTTTCTAATTTCCAAGAGTTGACTTGCAGTTACTTAACTGATTTCAAGTTAGGCAAACAGATGAAATCGGTTAGAGAACTGCTGAAAACTTGGACAGTCGTTTCTTCAGTACTGGGCATCCGTTAGTCTAATCGGCATCAAACTTATGGCTATTGAATATTCCAAAACCAGGTCAAAACAGCTGCCCAGTGCTCTTTGGCTTTCAATAGTCTCTATCTCATGCCGGTTTGTGACGACATCTGTATTCAAATAAATTCTGTCCCATTTTTAATAGATTGATTTAAACTAAAGAGAAATAAGTAGTATTCAGTGACTTATGTCTCATTCTGCATAGTTTGTTACTCTTGTTGCACCACACTGATGGAGGCTATTAGAAAAGAATATTGAAATATTTTCTCATTAAAGGAATATGGTGAGCTAGGGAAATACAGCAATAAATGTTTATCAAATAAAATGCAAGTTGATCATTCGGTTTTGCCAGAATGATAAGAAATTTCATATGCCTTACAGTCTGGTAAGTAAATACATGTCTGCATGAATCCATTTAAGAAACAGGTTTACTAAGTTCACATAGACCACATATTTCTCTCTTTATAAAGTTTGTTTTAGAAGTCACAGCTTGTTACGTCAAACACAGAGTTCTCATTGTAGTAGTATTTTGCGCTGCTATAAAGCTGGATGACTTTGGTCCAGTGAAATTTCCTACGAAAAGTTCACCAGAGATGAAGGAAATACCTTGAAAAAATTTTGGATTACTGTGATTCCACCAGACAAGCATATCAATTAGTGGAAACGGCGTCAAAATCCCTAGAATTTCATGCGATTTCTTAATAATTAAGGCGTTTTCGCATTTTTGGCAAAATACTTTAAAGCAGACAGCTCGATATTCACTTATTTGAAGGCAACTCAATGATGACGCTTATTTACTTTCTCACTTAGTCTAAATTAGGTGTTATTTTTTAGGGACTGTTTCCGTCGCAGAGTTATTCAACCTAGCTGGGCGTCCATAATACACGTGTCTTCCTTGTAATTATCTCCCCTAAACATCTGACTTCAAATTACCGTACGATATACTTCACAGATGTGTCGTATCCCTTAGCTTATTGATCGTACCACTCACCTGAGAGACATATTTTAACCAATACTTGAGACTAAATATTGGTTATCACGTCTCAAATAATTTCCATGGTCTCTGAAATAAATAGTGGGTTGTTATACTAGAAATAATTTCACACCTTCAATATACCCTAAAAGTGTCGATTATTACCGGCATATCGCGTTACTTAATTCATCATATAATTCCAATTGTCCTCTAACCGATGTCAGCTCACGATGAAATCCTGTAACCAATAAATCAAATCCCTACAAATCAATACTTGAAAATCAATGAGATGCTCAGTAGCAACTGTCCCTAAGTATTTACCTGGGTTCTAGTGGGAAGTCGTAACCAGTAGGGTACATCAAGTCGGGCGTGAGGAAAAATACTCGCCGAAGACATTGGCTAGTGGTCGCGCTATGTCATGAATTGGCAGAAGTTGGAATTCATGCACTGGCCATTAGATCGGGACCCAGTGGCTGAATGGTCTAAGAGCTCAACTTGTAACCAGAAGGTCCTGGGTTCGAACCATGGCGGTGAGTGAGTGCTGATGAAGAGTCCCAAACTAGGACGAAAAAGTTGTCCAGTACTCCGTAACCAATCAGTAAAACCCCTACAAACTAATACTTGAAAATTCTACTTTAACTGTATTCAGCATACCAAGGAATTGAAATGATATAGTGTTTTCAAACAAAAATAAAAAATATCGTGTTTTCACAATCTAAATTTTATTCACTCTCTTCGAGGATGTTGATCAGAGAAAACATACATCCAAAGAAGTCTTTAATTCAACAAAGTTCTTTATAATGAAACTGTGATACAGAGATATCATACGGTATTTCGTATGGATGTCCATCGGTCAAACTATCTTTGAAAATTTGCACTTTTCATCTGCATCATTCAAAAGCTAGTACTCACTGAGTATTATCGAAAGACAGAGGAATACCTTAAATTATTCTAAATTTTCTCAAAAATACCACCCTTTTCTGTATCATAACTTTTAAAATCAACGTAACTCATGACCATTATCAATTTCAGATGTGAACACTTTCAAATGAGGCAGATTGCAGCATAAACTCACTGATAAATCTGTTTTCTTACAAATCAGATTAAATTTGGAAACGGTTTAATACAAGTTACTGGAATCTCTTCTACAGCATAGCTGTACAATCAGTATTAATTAGTTGTTTAAAAAGCTCCATATACTGGAATTCATCACCATTACTTGATTGTGAATGCTTTCATTGTATTTGACAAACATTTATGTCAAAAAAGAGAGAAAGAAATTGTCCACGTGTGGATTATTTCCAGCCAAATAATTCTGAGTCAGAATAGAATTCAACTGTCACAATAACCAAAATTTGCTAAAGCATATAAATTACACTTACCATGTTTACTTAAATCCCCTATCTAATACACTGTCCCAGGTGGTTCAGAGGTAATGATTACCAGCATATATGCAGGCGGTAGTCACGTGGAAGTTCCTCTGGGTTCCACTCCCTGCCAATGCACTCTTAAACCTTGCCTAACTAGTAGTAGGTCCAAGAAAAAAGGAAGGTGGGGCATAAAACTAGTCATCCCATCCCATAAAAGCAATACTAATGCAATTAAAACTTCAGAGCCTAAGCCTGAAGCCCACTATTCCCCTTGGAACGCAAAGGATGAAAAAAAATTCAGTACACCAGTACACCCAATAATAAACTTGAAATTTATGACTTCTAGGATTTACTACAGATATTTCAGTCAATAATTATATTCATTTACTGTGCACGGAATGTAGTTTTCATTTAGAGTATGCATCAAAATGTCCATTGTTTCACCTTGTCCATTACGGAGGTTTGACCTCACCAATGCCTTTAATGAGCATTCACTTTCTCTTGATATAGTGGACTCCACCTGATGGTCTTTGGCTTCATCCGTGGTGGGATCGTGAGTGCGCATTGTGAAGAGTCCCAAACTTGGGCGAAACAACTGTCCAGGACTTCCTCGTTTTCAATGACTCTCTCTAACTGATGGTGGTTCCTGACGATTACTATTGCGTTAGGAACACAAATCTCTATCGACTGTTAAATAAAATTAAATTCTCCACCAGTGACTAAGTTTTGGTAAAATAACAAAAGATCCACGTACTTACATAGCAGAATATTATCCCAATTCACAGATTTTTCTTTTCTAAGTAAATTCCACAACTAGATGCATCAAAATTCCTTTTTTTTAATATTAATTTTTATGTAATTGTAAAGGAAAATGTCAACAGTTGTGTGTTGGTGAGAAAAAAATTTGCAATGAAGTATTTTTCTGAATACCCTTCCTCTGGAATATACTGTTTGTTTTATTGTGTATATCTATGATTGCATGAGAAATGAACAGTTTCTCTTATTATTATGATGATGAGGTCATTTCCGTAGTTAATTGTGAAAACCTTACTGTTAAACAAACTTGTAAGCATACTACTACACGTCTAATGAGTACTATCCGACTTGTCTTGTATACGTGTATGCTAGTTGTCGAATGTGTATGGTGTGTATGTGTGTGTGTGTGCGTGTTTGTATAGGTGTTTGTATTTGACAATGGAACAGATACATATATATGGGGTGTTTAGTTGATTTTCTAACCAGTCATCATTTTGGGTTCATTCTAACTCGTTAACTCATTTATTTACCTGTCAGTTCTCTTAATGTTTTGCTAACTCTTACTTCTTTCACACTCACTCTCTCTCTCACACGCACACACACACGAGTATATGCACGAACCTTTGGATAGTGTTGGTTTTTTGTCCACCGATTTAGAATATATTTAACATCTATCTCAATATTGGAACATATTCAGTCAAGTATGAATAATGATGACTATCTTACTTGTTGTCTGGTTGGTTCATCATTTGTTGGCCAGTATGGAGAGAGAATGTCATACAAACGCACAATAACGATGATGATGATGATGATGAAGAGCAAATGAAAATGTTTTCGCGCTTTTAACTAGATAACAATCATCATTAGGTAGATTTTGTGTGTTGAAAAAGAAAGCAATCAAGTAATCATGGTAGAAAGAAGATGTAGCTAAGTCTTCTAGTGATGTAATTTTTAGGTTAGTTGAGAAGACTTATAAATAAAAAGGACAAAATGAAGAAAGCGTATTGATAAAAATAGAAATCTCAGTTATAATAAGTTCAAAAGTAAAGAGAATCAGTGGGCCAATTAAAAAAATATGACAGATTACTAGCTATCACCTACAACAAAAGCAGAAGTACATATATAACAGTGTACACTAAGTAACTTTTTTAATTTTCAAGTATTGGTTTTGTAGGGATTTTGTTTGATTGCATGGAGGATTTAGTCATGAGCTGACATCAGTTAGAGAACCATTAGAAAACCTGGGAGTACTGGATAGCTGTTTCGTCTTCCGCCTTTGGGACTCTTCATCAGTACGCACCCACCGGGACTCGAACCCAGGACCTTCTGGTTACAAGGCTAGTGAGCTCGTAGACCATTAAGCCACTGGGATCCGATCCAATGGTCCTTGAATTCTAACTTCTGCCAATTCATGACATAGCGCGACGATTTCTCAATGTTTTCTTCAATGAGTTACTGCCTCATCTTCAACCTGCTGTACCCTACTGGTCACGGCTTCCCACTAGAACCCCAGGTTAACTGCCTCAACAGGGCCAGTCTTGCACCCGGTGGGTGCGTACTGACGAAGAGTCCTAAACTAGGACGAAATAGCTGTCCAGTACTCCCAGGTTTTCCAGTGGTTCTCTAAATGATGTCAGCTCATGATGAAATCCTCCATGCAATCAAACCTTTTTAATGTCAGTAATTTTATATTTGAGTTTTTCTAGGGAGTTGGTTTATTTTCAAAGGCTACCATAGATATATGGACAGTAATCGGGGTCGATATTTATAAGTGACATTACGTAATTGGCGGAGCCTGAGAATTTGAACTGTTGTATCTCATACTGATAACTTAACGACGGTACACTTACCGACAGACAAGTATCGTGGTTTTACTGATAGTTGAATATGTAGCTGTAAATTAAATTCGAAATTTGCAATTTACACAGTTCGGGGAGGCAAAACTCCACCACAGTTTCCTTTGGAAACCAAAATTATTCAGGTCACCACAATGTGTGATATGCTTGATACCAAAAATTGTAGTCAAGAAGACAAGCATTATTATTATTCCCTTGAGTTACGAGTGGAACATAGAGTTTCTACTACACATCTCCACTTTATTCTGTTTTCGGCCGTCCTCTTCACCTGGGTTCACAATTGACCATAATCTCTTATCTCCTCCCCGCCACATGATCTCCTCCATGTCACCCTCGCACCGATAAACCACTCGTCGCTTCCCATTGGGATTACACTAGAGCAATGGCCTGCATTGCGCGCGATGTCACATTTGTTGGGCGGTTGGCTCTTGTCTGTTGGTTTTTTCCTAACCAGAGTTTCTTCTTGCTAATTCTTTTTGACCGGCCGGTCATTTGATCTGCAGTATGGAACCAGAGAAGGCAGGCAGCTGTTGATAAAAGTTCGCATCTCGTTGGAAATCCTTTTCGTGACACGCACTGCAAGTTTCTGACCCTTATAGAAGGACCTCACATTTGTGTTGGAGATTCGAATCTTGTTGTTTATGCTGAGTGTAAGAGATTTCCAAATTGGTTTCAGGCTGATGAAGGCGTATCTTGCCTTTCGGATTCTGACTGGTTTTGACATCTTCATCCGTTCCACCCGCCTGTGGTTGAAACGATGCTTACTAGATAAGTGAAGGAGGTTCTTTTTTATTCCTTTACGTTCCCAGTGGGACATAGGGCCTCAGGCTAGAGGCTTGACGTTTCGGTAGCAATGGTGTTTATTTTTACGGGATGGGGTTGCTAGCCTGATGGCTAACCTTCCCTCTTTACCAGTCTTACTAATGGCTTAGCGACGTAAAGGAGTGCGTCAGCCGGGGATCAGACCCCGAACCATATGCATGGTTGGTGAGCTTTCTACCGCTTTGCCACCGACCCACTCAAGTGAAGGAGGTAACCTCTTTCAAATCTCTCCTGCTGATGATAATTGATGCTGGTTGCTGCTGCTTTTGGCTGGTCATCTTCATCACCTCCATCTTCTCTGTGTTCACCTGGAGTCATGTCTTTGCCGCCTACTTCTTCAGTCAGTTTGTTGGTTTTCACATATAAGTCTTTGAGTTTGTGTGACATTAGACATAAATCATCATCGAAGTCCAGATCTTCTAGAGTTTTCTTATCGGTGGTCATGCGTATTCTTGTCTGCTTGCTCTTCTCTCACATTTTGACACATAATCCAGTCCACCACAATTAAGAAGGCAAGCATAAATCCGCTTGATTGGAATGAGCAGATGTAAGCTATTGATATCAACCATTAATGCTTGCTAGTCAGGTTGAGGTGATCTAGATACCAGACTGTCGGTTTGTCTCAGAGAATCGAATCAATTACTGTACATTATGAAAAATCTTGTTCTCAACACGAAGCAGATGTGAGGTGTTTACTAGTTGTTGCAACTTAAAAAATATTTCAGAGTTGTTTGAATGTGTGTAAAAAAGACACATTTAGTGAAAATTCTGCTATCTCTCAAATTTGAAACTTATTAATAGGCAGTTGAGTTGGAAATTTATTTACATTAATCAAATCTGAAGAACTTTTGATACGCTCATTGATATTGCAGGTAAAAATAAATATTGAACACCGAGAAAACTTTTAAATTCTCAAATGAATGTTTTTAGTGTTATTGTATTCTCTGGACAACATCTTCAATTTTGAAGCAGGACAATGAAAGCTTCGTGATTCGATCAGTCTATTGGAGATAACAATTCCAAAATATCCTTCATTTCAGGATATAACACAAAAACCTGTTTCCACTAAAACTTCTTAATCCCTCTATATTAAAATTCATAATTACTAGTTATAAAAAGAACTCAAACAATAGGAAAAATAAAGGACACACTTTTTAAAGTTTCATTCACCATATCTTATATGTCAAACCTTCTAAAAACCTCTTCACATTTATTGATGAAATGACAACTTTACTATCCTTCCTTACACATGTTTTTACAGGCTTTTTCAATGTTATCGTTTCATCGTTTACTTCTCAGTTTGTTAGTTCGTCGATTTGATCATTGGAAAAGTTGACAACTAGTCACGCATTGTCGCCACTAACTGCTCTATACGCTATGTATCAGCTTCGTCTACACGAAGTTTAGACAATAATAAGGCCTGTTATTTATGATAACATGCAACCTAACAGATATGCATACTAGACATTTTCGTGTATTGTTCATACAAACCTTACCTTTTGCTGTCACTTGATCTAAAACTTATGAAAAATATCAGGGGAATTTCCTCTTGTCAACTTGTTTAAGTGAAGTATACATGCGCATTTCTCAAATTAATAGAAAAGGAAGACTTAATGGCACAATATGCTAAGTTTGTTGGTGAATAGATACTTAGTCAATCACATTAACCTCAAATTTTTTTATTATTGGCTTAGCGAGGTAAAGGAGTGCGTCGGCTAGGGATCGAACTCCGGACCACCTGCGTGGTTGGCGAGCATTCTACCGCTCTGCCACCGACTCACATGACCCATAGAAGCTACAAAAATTCATTGTTTCCTGAAAAACTTGTGTAGCACTATAAACTTATATAACGCTTTAACTCATCAGTTATTTTAGAAGTGTACGCGACTTCATTACCGCTAAAATCATATTTAACAGCTAATTTTTGTAAACCACTAAAACTCCATCAAAGAAAAAATTAAAAATCAATCCAAACGAAGAATTTTCTTTTGCATAGATTCCCTTCAGGTTCTCAAAATTATTATAAAATATAATATTCGTCATTCTATCTGCTGACCTTTCCTGGTAGTCTCATATCTTGGTGATTTCTAAGAAAATATTCCGTCTTACCTTCTACATCAAGAAGTTAAAGCCCCTTGATGTATGAATCTATACAAAAACTCAACCATACCCTACTTAGCTCGTGTTCTGTGCGATAAAGAAAGCATTAGGCGTGACACCTATAATTCATTAAATAGTCAGTAGAACAACTGGACCTCGTCTTCTCAACTCGTTTCATTTATAGGTACAACATTTTCTTTCTTTTCCTTTTCTCTCTCTCCCTTTTTCTTTTTTTCTGTTATGTGTTGCTTTGTTTCTTTCTCTCGCTTACGCCAGTAAATATGATAGCACCTACTTTTCTAACACCTTCAAACACTGTTCAACTTTGGCTTTGCTACCAACATGTCAATAT